CCCCAAAACCCCAAAACCCCAAAACCCCAAAACCCCACGATTTATACAAACATTGAATTATAAAATATGGACAAGATTATAGATAATTTGTACCTAGGAGATGTCTTTAGTTGCTCTAATAGGTATTCTCTTAGGAAATATGGAGTCAGCCATATCCTTACAATGGCAGCTGGCATGAAACCTCTGTATCCCTCAGATTTTGTTTACAAATGAGTGGATGTCCTAGACATGCCTTCAGAGAACTTATTACCTCACTTCCCAGATGCGATTGAATTTATAAAGAACGCAATCAACAAAGGAGGAACAGTCCTAGTCCATTGCTACGCAGGTGTCTCTCGAAGCGCATCAACAGTCATAGCATACCTGATGATAGAGAAAGGGTTCAAATTTGTCGATGCTGCTAATTTTGTCAAGAATAAGAGACCCATCATCTTCCCAAATGTAGGCTTCAGAAGGCAGTTAGTTAAATTAGAAGAATTTCTTAAGAAACAGAAAGATGAGGACAAACTCAGTATCTCAACTAAAAGATCTGCTAGATCTAAAAGACCAGTCAGGACTGCAAAAACAAGAGTTCGAAGTGATGCAAGATCCCAGTATAGCTCAACCGCCTCTGCTTACAGGGGTAAATATAGGTACAAATAACTTCTATCGAAATTTCGTGCTCAATATACCCAAAATCTAGCAGTTCTGATGTCTTTTTAGTAATAAATACAGAACCAAACGGTCTGTAAACCCTGATAAAAGAGAGAGGAAGGAAAAAGTATTCAAAGATTACAGAGAAAAAGCCATGTATTATTACATGGGTATGAAAAAGAATTTCTCAAGAAGCTCAAAAAGTAACCCCAACAGCTATAATTTTAGTTAACATCACTAATAAGGATCTCGAAGATTTTAAAAATCATGTCAATGAAAAGTACCCGTTCTGTATAATTCATAGGAAAAATCAGCTGTATAAGTTATCAAAGAGTAAGAGCCTTCCATCATCAAAGAACATATGCATTAAACTAGAGTCGGATCTTTAAATAACAAGCATTGTACAATTATTGGCTATATGAAGCCATCAAGTCCAATTTCCTGCTTACTGATGGCTCTTTTAAAGTTTAGCCAGCAGCTGGATCCTTTCAAATTTTGTTGATCACTGTAGTCTAAAGTTTTGATTAAACTGATAAAAATATAGCATCTGGTAGTCCAAAGCTGCTAAAGAATAACTTTGTTATAAGTGATCGCCAGAATAGCTTAGAAGCGTCTAAAATTAAAGGGGTGCAATCCAAGACTCCAAACCATCTAGCTAGAGTACACAAAAACCGTCTAAAAAATTACAATCGCAGAGAAAACAGAAAATCACATGCTCAAAAGAAGTACTTTAGTCCTGAAGCTAGAGGAGATCCGGTTTATAAAGAAGTAAAATCATATTTTCACACAGCAAATTTGGATCAAAGAGGTAAGAACTTCAGCCACTTATAGTCGAAGCCAGACCCATCAAAAATGATTTAAAGTATGATGCCAATTCTGTCAAAAGTAACCCATTGTCTAAACTGTTGTAGTAATTCAACCTCGAGGGTACAAAAGAGCATAAGAAAGTGTAGAGAATGAACTGGCAATCTTTGGACAATGAAAGAAAAGGGATATCTAAATTTGTGATTATCATTCATAAACCCTATAATTTCAATAACTTCCCCTTCTTTCGGGGTTTTGGGGTTTTGGGGTTTTGGGGTTTTGGGG